AGCGAGGAAGTGGGCTGTCGCCCCTCAAAGTGGGGGGCCAGACACCCTCAGTGTTCCCAGGCCTAGCCTCCCCTCGCAGAGGACTTTGGGGCTCGTTTCAGCGGGGCTCAGGGTCGGGCCGGGACCGCAGGACCCTATAACGGGCCATGTAGGGCTAGGGTTCGGTTCTCTACCCTGCACTGGTCACCTGTGGCCCAGGAACAGGGATGGGACTGTGGGGTGGGGCAGGGCCATCATCTGGTGGCCAGTGCCCGTGACCCATCTCCCCACTGAACGTTGAGAGCCATAGGTCACGGGGCTACTTGGGAAGGCGTGGCAAAGCTACCATCGAGGCAGGCTTGGTGGTGTTTTCCTGTGGATGTTCTTTGATAATTTTTAGTTGAGGCCTTTTCTTTGGGTCTGCACGCGTCTGCACTAACTCAGCATCCAGAGTTGTAACAGATTCGAAACCACATGGTCTGCTTGGGCCACCCTGTGGCAGGAGATCAAAGCTCCTGCTGGCTCGCCTGTGCCCTGGGGCGGCCAGGAACGGGAGGTGGGGGCAGAGCAGCCACACAGCCCTGCGCTGGGCACGGTTCGTTCCCAGGGGTCTCTGGCGGCCTGTTCAGCAGGGAGCGGGCCCCTTCCAACTGGGATTTGAGGTTTGTAGCAGATCTCGAGGCCGAGGGGCCAGCTCCTCCAAGGGGTTAAAAGACGGGGGTGTCTGCGACAGACGCTGGCCAGGTGAACAAGCACTGACCTCTCAGCCTCCCCAGACCCAGATTCCTGCCCGGTTCGTAGACCTCAGGCAGAGCTGGAGCACAGGCACCAGGCGTCTGGGACTCGCCCCGGGGTGGGACAGTGGGAGAGAGGAACCCGGTGAACTGGCCGGCAGGATGCACCCTCTCCGAGGATGCTGGTGTCTGGACGGAGCTGGAGACCCCTCGCTGTGCTTTGTCCCCAGGCCCACTGAGGGCTCTGATCATGCAGAGTTGACTTGCCGGGGAGGTCTGGTGGCCCCACGGGTGACAGCCCATTTTACAGAACGGGAGCCCGAGGCCACAGCTTATCCCAGGCACGTCCATGAGGCACAGAGTGGAGACCAGGGAGTCTGACCCAGACAGAGTGAGGCCTGCTGGTCTGTCTGCAGACAGTGTCCTGTTGTCCTCCTCACAATTCTGGGGGACAAAAGCCCAGAATCAGGGCTACATTCCCTCTGAAACTCAGGGGGATTCCTCCTTGTCTGTTCAGGCTGCTGGCGTCCCTGGGCTTGTGGCTGCAGCACTGTGCCCTCTCTGCCTCGTCCCCCGGGCTTCTCCCAGTGGCCTCTGTGTCCTGTGAGGACACTTGTGGGCTCCAGGGCCTACCCTCATCTACGATATCATTTCAAGATCCTTACCTTAATTCCATCTTCAAAGACCCTTTTCCAAATCAGGTCACATTCAGAGGTTCTGGGCTGACATGAATTGGGGGGACCCTGTTCAGCACATCTCTTGACATAAACGGCCATCCCCTGGGGCCCCAGAGGGATAAAGTGGGAGCACAGGCGGAAGGTTCCAGCACGGTGGATGCTCCCCAGTTTGGGATGACTTTCCCGTGGTGTCCCCGTCCCAGGAGGGGTGCCCCTGGGCTGGTCTGGCTGTGGGAAAGCACTGGGTGGGGATGGGGCCTGGCCAGACCTAGAGTTCTGGCATTTTCTGCAGCTGCCTCCCACTGCCCATTTCCAGATTGGGGCGTTGACAGGCTCCCGGGGCCCCAGAGAAGGCCTGGGAACACCTGACCAGGCCTTCCTCCCACACAGAGGTCGGGCTGGGTCTCAGGGGCCGCAGACCCTGTAGGGAGCCCTTGTCCTCATTCAGGAGCCACTGGTCTGGCACACTTCCCTGGTGGGAAAGAGGGCCACTGGGTGCCCTCCCCCACCCGTCATCCATGACTCCCATGGCTGCGTCCGTGTGACTCAGAGATCTGGGCTGGCTTTCCCTGAGAGCGGCTCCCTGGGGCCTCTGAGCGTCCCCCCGCCAATTACCCCGGTCCTCAGGGGGCCCCAGTGGGTGGGAGGCAGGCTCTGCTGGGACATCACGGCTTGCCGACGGGCACGTCTGGCCGTGCGTTGGCGTGCACATTCCTCGCGGCCCGTCCGGGAGGGCGCCGGCAGTGGCTGCGCCTTAGGGGATTTAGGGCTGGGACGGGCAGACTTGAGCAGAGGGGCTTCCGGGCTAGCCCGCTGCACGGACGAGCAGAGGGCCGGGCCCACCGAGGTGGCAAGCTGCCTTCTCTTGAGGCAGCAGTTAGAGGCCGCTTCGAGGTCTGCAGAAAAATTGCAGAGAAGGGGTGCTGGCACAGGGGACCCGGTCAGTTGTGGGTCCCAGGGTTTCTGCCCCCCACTTGGAGCCTACAGCAGGACGTGCCGTCTGTCTGTCCATCGCCATCAGTCTTGTCTGCTCACAGAGTGGGCCGGGGCCTGGTGGGGACAGAGACCGACTGGTCAGCTTGGAGCATAGTGGCCATCGGGGGACTGTTGTCATTCACCTGTGTCCAGTGCAGCCCAGTTTGGGGTCTGGGGGAGTGAACGGCCGGCGCAGCTCACGCGTCTGCCCCAGCCACGGGACCAGCGGTGTGTGGACCGGGCTTCCGTTCCCGAATTGTTGCCATCTGGGGGCTGCCCTCTGCCTTCCAGGGTATCCAACAGCGCCCGTGGCCTCTGTCCCCTAAATGTCCCCAGCCACGATAGCCCCAAGTATCTCCAGACGTGGCCGTACATCCCCCGGTTGCCGAGGGCAGGCCAGTGTTGGAGACCACGCGTGGGGTCTAGAGTCTGCTCTCCTCACTAGGACAGTCTGTGTCTCTTTGCTGCGCCCCACCCCCTGCTCACCGCCTCCGTCGCCACCGGGCTCGGTGCAGCTGCCGACACACATCATTCAGCGGAGGTGTGGCTGTCTCGCCCGCTTCTCGCTGGCCTGGAGACGGGCAGGCGGGGCCTCCCGCCAGCTCTCCAGACCTCCTTCCAGAATGCCTGCTGTTAGGGCTCCAGCCCCAGCAGGACACCAGGACAGTGAGGGCAGGCACAGCCAGTGTCCCTGAGTGGCCGCCCAGGCCAAGTGCCACACGGAGCCGGCAGACCCAGCGCCCACTCTCTGATGCCCGTCAAGAAGGAGGGGCCGCGTGCTTGGCCAGCATTTGGTCGGGAGCCCGGAGGAGCTACGGGTCTCCCTTCTGGGCCGGCGTCCAGCACAGGCCGAGGCTGAGC